GACAATGTTGTGTACCATTTAAGGAAATCTTAAAGGAACGCCAGAAACAGGGACTATGGACAGATTTTTGGTGATATGAGGTCCATCGACTGTCAAGTTGTTCCCAGTAGCATTAAAAAATCAAAGAAGGGAAGTAACCCCGAAAAGGAATTGCTACCTAAGTCCTTATGGAAGGGGTTTTCATTCCAACAATAATACACATCCATCATATCCCTCATCAAATTCTCTGCACTCATCAATTAAATCGTCAGTAAGGATAAGTGTCATTTATTCTTCATTATTATTCTTCATGTTTCATTGTTTTCTCCCAACCCCGTGTAGGAAAATGTATATTTCATTTGAAAATTTTTTTTTCTTCAATACGTACTTCAGGTGTCTGGAACTGATTAATTGGAATTCCATTATATTTATGGGGAAAATTAATTCTGCTAACAATTAATCAGTAAGACAAGCTCTCTGGAATGGAATTTTATTGTAATATGAGGGATCCCACTGTATATATGTCTCAACGCTGTTGCTTGATACCTTTGTATACCTTTGAAAAGTTTCAAGGTGAGTTTATCCCTCTCTGAGCCTGGCCTTGGGCCCAGGCTCGTCTGGTAACTTCCTGGTCACCAGCGCTGGTGATGATGGAGGCCAATTGCCCCACATATCCATCACAGCCTGGGTTAATCTGGCACCTGGTGATAGATACTTCTCCAGTTTCCTCTTGAAGGCTTCCACATTTCTAACTTGATCTCCACATTGTTTGAGAGTATGGAACAGAACTCTTCTCCAGGCTGAGGGGGACTGACAACCTCACAAATCTTCAAACTTCAAGTGTGAAGGACTGGTAATCATCGTCTTCACATCTCTACTTCTCCTGCATACTTTCTGTAATTCTACGAAGTAGTCTACTGTGTAGGTGAAATGTTTGGATTAAATATGTCAAACTGATGCTATGTGTCTTTGCCTTACCAATGTTTTAGTGATGGTGGGAGTATGTAAGAAAACTTTTTGACGGATGATGTAAGTTTAGTGTCACTGCACTGGTGACAGTGTAGCGTTCTGTGGCACTTGATGTTTCATGCACTGCTGCAGTGTAGCAGTTCAGTGACATCTTGATGATCATGTTACTGATGACAGTGCAGCAGTTCAGTGAAACTGATGATATGGCACTGCTGACAGTGCTGAAGTTCAGTGACACTGCATGATAATGTACTGGTGACAGTGTAGCAGTTCATTGACAATTGATGATCTTGTACTGTTGACAGTGTAGCAGTTCGTGACACTTGATGATCATGTAATGGTGACAGTGTAAGCAGTTCAAAAATGACACTTGGATGAAATGTACTGTTGACAGTGCAAGCAGTTCGTGACACTTGATGATCATGTAATGTGGACTGTGCAAACTGTTCTTGACACTTTGATGATCATGCTCTGTGACAGTGTTGCAGTTCAGTGGACTCATTGATGATCATGTACTGCTGAAAGTTATGGCCAGCAGTTCAGTGACACTTGATGATCATGTACTGCTGCGGTGCAGAGTGCAGTGTCACTTTGATGATCATGCACTGCTGACAGTGTTGCAGTTCAGTGACACTTGATGATTCATTACTGCTGACAGTGCGCAGTTTCAGTGAACATGATGATCGTGCGGCTGACGTGTAGAAGTTCAGTGGACACTTGATGATCATGCACTGCTGACAGTGTAAAGAACAGTTCATGTGAATCTTGATATCATGCACTGCTGACTGTGCAGCAGTTCAGTGACAATTGATAAGTACTGCTGACAGTGACAGCCTTTCAGTGACAATGATGATATGCTATGCTGAAATTGCAGCAGTTCACAGTGACACATTTGATGATCATGGCCACATGCTGACAGTGCAGCAGGTCAGCGAAAATTGATGATCCTGTACTGCTGACTGTGTAGCAGTTCAGTGACACTTGATGATCTGACTGCTGACAGTGCGGCAGTTCAGTGACACTGATGAATAATGCACTGCTGCAGTGCAAGCAGTTCTGTGACACTTGATGATCATGAATGCTGAAGGTGTAGCAGTTCAGTGGACCACTTGATGATCATGAACTGCTGAAGTGAAGCTGGTTCAAGTGCACACTAGGATGGATCATGCAATGCTCCAGAGAACCCATAATTTATTTACTTTTATATGTTTAAATTAAAATGTTTAAAATGTCTATCTGTCTGCTTATATGTCTTTCTGTATGCCTATGTAGTCTTCCTGTATCGTATGTATCTATGTATCAGAGTGAACTCCTCCTCATGTCTCTGTCTGTCTATGGATCAGAGGAGGACACCACTCTGTCTCTGTCTGTATCTATGTATCAGAGAGAAACAACCAATCGTGTATATGTCTGTCTCGCTGTATCTGACGTGGGAATACAACTCATGTCTCGGTCTGTCTATCTGTATCTAGAGAGAAACATACCACTCATGTCTCTGTCTGTCTCTCTGTATCAGAGAGAACACCACTCATGTCTCTGTCTGTCTCTGTGTATCAGAGAGAACACCACTCATGTCTCTGTCTGTCTCTCTGTATCAGAGAGAACACCACTCATGTCTCTGTCTGTCTCTCTGTATCAGAAGAGAACACTCTTCATGTCTCTGTCTGTTCTCCTCTGTTTAAGTGAAGAAAAACAATCATGTCTCTGTCTGTCGCTGTGTATCAGAGAGAACACCACTCATGTCTCTGTCTGTCTCTCTGTATCAGAGAGAACACCACTCATGTCTCTGTCTGTCTCTCTGTATCAGAGAGAACACCACTCATGTCTCTGTCTGTCTCTCTGTATCAGAGAGAACACCACTCATGTCTCTGTCGGATCTATCTGATCAGAGAGAAACACCACTCATGTCTCGGTCTGTCTCTCTGTTTCAGAGAGAACACCACTTCTTGAAACAAGAGGTATTAAACAAGATGCAGAGTAGTCATGTAGGGTTCCTGATCCTAGTGAAAAAATCGTGTATTACTTGCCAGTCATGCTTAGTATGGTCTTATATCTACAAGCCACAGTTATCACACTTGTTTATTCTACAAGCACAGTATCACCTTTGTCTGGGTTTTTTGGGGTGTATCCTATGTATTTTATTACTTTTATGATTTCTGTGCTTATGTGCACCTGTGAGATAAGGGAGTGACGAGATGGGGAATTAGACTGAGACAGAGATATATAAAACAGAAGATAGACAGAGATATATGCAATGGAGATATATACAGACAGAAATAGATACAGACAGAAATAATAGAGGGGGACAACCTAAGTCAAATCAGCCACCCACCACTGCCAGCCTAGCCTCGCTGAAAACACATATTACACATTCCAGATTATTTCTCTTTACTTAGGGCGTTGATATAGGATATTTCTGGCAGGATTGACACTACTGTGGTATCAATAATGAAAGGATGTTGCACAAATGTTGCACAATGGGTTATTATTGAGGGTTTTTTATATTTCCTTGAAAAATTGTGGGAAACATCTACTCTCTAAGCCATGAAATAAGCAGTCATCTGCTCGTTATAGGGAAGTGCTAATATTACATGAATTCAGTGAAATCAATGGTGTTTGCCATGTTCTTTGTTTAGATGGCACTCAATTGTCTGGTGACTCCCACAAGGTACAAGTGTCCAGATTTTTTAATACTGCTAATACCAGGAAAGGAAGGAAAGATAAAACGCTGATATACATTTGTGAGCACACAGCAATTACAAAGTAGATCTACATTGTATCATTTACATTGGGAGGGGTGCCAGGTCTTACTACACCTGACTTTCTACAAATAAAATATTACTCGCTCTTCACCATTCTTTAAAGACTACAAATATTTTAAAGTAATGAATATACTGCTGGCAGGATATTGTACTTTTTATTTTGTTTTTAATGCCAAGTTCTAACTGTTTTGCATTATACGATTCTCTTACTTAGTGACATACTTGTTTACCGATGGATCAGACTTTATGACGGGCTCTCTGACCAGTTACATACAAAATAATGTATATTAGAGCTTGATTACCTCTATTTGTTTATTACAATATTCAGTATACTGCTGTATAAACATTCAAAAAACACACAGAAAATGTTATAATTGGTTGACACAAACCCACTTCCATTATGTTTGCTACCTCCTACTAGATGACGAATTTGTTTACCAATGTTGTCTTAGGACCAGAACTCCGTTGTTAAGTGAGGAGAGGTTGTATATGTTATTGTAAACTTATCTGGTATTTGTATGCATTTATAAGTGGAAAAAATGGTATTCTGCTTACCAGCAATGCCCGCTTTCTGACGATAGCCTTAAACCTAACCTGCTGTATGAGTGGGGCCCTATAGTAGCCTGACACCTAACCTGCTGTATGAGTGGGGCCCTATAGTAGCCTGACACCTAACCTGCTGTATGAGTGGGGCCCTATAGTAGCCTGACACCTAACCTGCTGTATGAGTGGGGCCCTATAGTAGCCTGACACCTAACCTGCTGTATAAGTGGCGCCCTACTGTTCAATAGTTGAGTAACCACATGAACAAATTTCTTATATTCAATAGTCTAAAATTAAACTTAAAATTTGGGTTTTGTTAGTGACTTTAATTATATAAGTAATGTCTATAGAATTAAGTTTGGAATAGTAGAGGGAGTGTGGATAGTTATCAGTTAGGTAATAAACTAAAACTGGGGCTTGAGAGCTCAGAACTTTTTGGCTAGAGTTTTACTATGTGTGGAGAGAAGTCATTCAGTTTTATTTACTGTTTCAGAGAGTGGGAGAGGAGGTTCAGTTGGTGTAGTTTATACAATGTTATTTTTGTGACTAGGAAACTATATGAATATTAGAAAAAAACCCGTCAGTCAAAAATATTATGAAAAGTTGTGTATAATAGGTTAGGTAGCAAGTTTGATACCATATTATAGGAAATAAGAAAGTGGTTATTTTAAAAATGAAAAATCTTGATGATCATGTTATTATGATTTTTATTGTTAACATGAAAAAAATCAAAGACTTTCTACTTACAGTTAATGTCGCTGGAGGGATTAACATGTAATTATTTAACTTTTCCATGATGGTGGTGGCTGAGTCTCCCTGGAGAACGGGGGCAGCTGTGGCACCTGTCTTGTGGTGATGGTGTCAGGGCCTTCTTAATGGTCTCCTGTACCCTGTCTTACCAACACAAACATTAATGATGGAGGTCTAATCAAACTGGTCTCCACCAGACACTTTCACAACTGTTGATTTATTCAAGATTATGTCTTAAATATAACTCACACCCTCCCTTCAACTGCCTAATATATCCCCTGTACCGCCTACAACCCTTCCTATTATCCTGTATCCTCTCTTCAAACCATTCTATTATATCCACTGTTACCTACCTTCAACCCTTCCCTAATATATCCCCTGTACACTCCCTTCAAACACTTCCTAGTTATATCCTGTACCTCCCTTCAACCCTTCCTAATATATCCCCTGTACCTCCTACACACACTTCCTAATTTTCCCCGGTTTCTCTATTAACCCTTCCTAATATATCCTCGTTCTCCTACAAAACCTTACTAATATATCCCCTGAACCTCCTTAACCCATCCTAATATATCACCTGTACCTCCCTTCAACCCTTCCTAATATATCCCTGTACCTCCTACAACTTCCTAATATTCCATGACCTCCCTTAAACCCTTCCTAATATATCCTGTACCTCCTTCAACCCTTCAAAATATATCCCCTGTTACCTCCCTTCCCCAACCCTACCAGCATACCACATACCTTTCTTCTAACGCTTATAATACGTTATTCCTCTGTACCTCTTTTCATCCATTACAGAATTTCCCTTGTACCTTCTAGGATTCATATATACCTCCTAGGATATCCCCTTGTACCATCCTTAAACCCTTCCTAGCATATCACCTGTACCTTTCTTCAACCTTCTTGGATATATCTTGAAGCAACCACCAGGGAGTACTACAATACTGCTGGTGTTGTTTGGTAGACAGCACCACCCAGGGAGGTACATACCATCCTGTGTAGTAAGATTGGTAGACAGCAACAATCCCAGGGTAGGTTAACTAAAAACCTGTGGTAGATGGTTGGTTAGACAGAAAAACACCCAGGAGGTTCTACCTCCTGTGGTAGTAGATTGGTAGACAGCAAACCACCCAGGGAGGTACGAAAATCTGTGGTAGATGGTGGTTAGACAGCAAACCATCCATGGGAGGTACTACCATTCCTGTGTAGTAGGTGGTAGGCAGCATCCAAACCAGGGTGGTTCTGCATTCCTGTGGGAGTTAGGTTGGTAGGCAGCATTCACCCTGGGACGGCTCTGTGAGAATCTGGTAGTAGGTTGGTAAGACAGCAACACCCAGGAGTTACTTTTATTCGCTGGTTGTTAATTGGTAGACAGAAAACCCACAGGGAGGTAACTAATGTCCTACACAAGTGCAGTAAAACAAGTGCCTCTTAGTGTTTTAAATGATATGATTGTGGTGTATTTTTTCTGTGTCATAAAAAATGAAGTAGATGTCTTGATACTTCTACTTACACTTAGGTCTAACAACACATGAGCATGTCAATCATACAAATGCACCCTTGGGTTTTCTTTATCTTTTCTTACTAGTTCATTTTTCTTGTTTATTTATCTTATCTCATGGGGAAGTGGAGTGAATTCTTCCTTCATAAGCCATGCATTGTCGTAATAGGTACTAAATTGCCTGGAGCAAGGAGATAGTAACCCCTTCTCCTGTTTCATTACTAAATTTATAAAAGAAAAATTTTTGTCTTTTCTTTTTGGGGTCACCTTCTCGTATCGACTGATAACATATGTGCAGATTCAAGGAGTCCATAGTCAGGTGAAGGACTGAAACCTGAACAAGTGATAAATTGTGACAAAACAGGCCTGTCTTTGGAAAGAAAGAAAATGCCAGATGGACATACATTTACTAAGGAGGAAAAGGCACTCCCAAGACATCAAGCCTATGAATGACAGCCTTACTCTGTTGATGTTTTATATGCTAGTGGTGATTCAAAGTGAAGCCTTTATTGGTGTATCCACTCTGAAAATCCACAGAGTGTTCAGGAAAAACAATTCCGCGGGCTAATTTTGTGTGTGCTGTGAGGGCAAACAGTATGGCATGGGTTACACTAGAGGACTTTTTCTTGAATGGTTTACACCAAGCATTTGCCCCCTTGTGAAAAATTACCTTTGGAAAATAAATTGGAACTTAAGTGTTCTCCTGGTATTAAACATGTTCCTGGCCATCTCTTCAGACATGCTGAGCGACTTTTCTGCGGAAAGTGAGCTTCATTAAGATCTAGTTTTTTGCCTCCAATACCACTCATCTCCTGCAGTCCATGGACAAGAAGGTCATTGCAAACTTTCAAAAACTCTACATAGAAAGCTATGCTTGAAAAGTGGCTTTGTAGTGACATCAGGGAACTCAAGTGACTTAAGAGTGTTTTGGAGAGTTCATTTAGCATCCTCAATTGTGTATAAATTATAGGTAGGCTTGGGAGGAAGTGACTAAGAGGACCTTGAACTCTGCTTGGTAGAAACTGTGGCCCAGAATAAAAAAAAAATAAAAAATTTTTGGAAAATTCAATAAGTTTTGGGGTATCCTTTTACTGGGGTTAGACATGTTTACATTGGGGAGGTTCTCCTTTTCTCAATCTTTCCCTTGTATTCCTTCATCATGGGGGTGAAGAATTTTTCCTTCATGTTGCTGTGTTGGGGTTTTTCCAGAGCGGAGCTGCCCCTTTCCTGACTTCCTTTTTTAAAAAGTTTTTTTTCCTTGGGTCACCCCCTCCTTTTCCAGGGGTAGGGCGGGTTTTTGCTAAAGCCAGAGATATAATTATCTGAATTGTTGATGTGGTTTCATCCTACATACACTGTCTACATAAAAAAGGATACTAATGTTATTGGAAAGTGTCTTTCTGTGCATCATATTTATGAGGTGTAGAATGCTTGCTCTGTGATTCCTTGCAAAACTTCCAACTTCAATCCTCCTTGAGTGTCCTTCTCAATGTGTTGATCTTGCCCATTTACTGTGTAAAGGTTCCACATGATGCACCTGCTCTTCTAGCCTTTCTGTTTCAAGCAGCTCATGTTCCTGTTCGGGAACTGGAGCTCTTGGCACTGTTGCTCACAATCAAAGCTGGACATTGGTGATGCTGAGATTCTTCATGTATTCACTACACCTGTATGCACTGGAAGTGTGTCTTGCACACGGCTATTATAGGTGTACGTCGTAAGTTCTTTTATCCTGTTCAAAGCACACTGTAACTCTTCCTGGTTTGTGTATCCTGTGACAATTTTAGTGAATTTTCCACTGATGCATCTGGATACTTTAGTTTCTTTTCACAGCCCATGATACTGATTCGGAACTATACATGTGCACTGTGCTCACATCTAAGTGTTCAGTGGCTGATGCATTTATAGTATCAATCTGTGAAGTTACACCCAGGAGATCTGGTCCAATTCTTCATCATTAACATGTTATAAACATTTACATACTCGTGTATTATCCTGTCAAACTTCTTTGATTTACTACCAATATGGATGCAATTACATCACTGTGAATGGTTATAGTGTTGAAATTCTTTATATTACTCATCATATACAACATAGCATCTTGCAGGTAAATTGCAAACTTCTTCATATTACTACCATATACAACATACATACTGCAGGTATATATTGTCAAACTTCTTCATATTACTACCATATACAACATACATACACTGGAGGTATATGTTGTCAAACTTCTTCATATTAACCACCACATACAACTTAATGAAGGTATATATTGCTAAAACTTCATAAATACAATGTAAGACCACAGTGTGCTGTATTGGTTACATGACCAGACACACAAAGAAGAAACTAATACAATTTGCTTTGATATCTCTTTTAACTTTAGACAGAGTTTACAAGGTGGTTAAGGGTTCTAACTTATTTACAAGTTAAGAGCTGTACCTCATCAACTCATGTTAAAGCGTTTTTGTTATTTTATAGAGACATTACACATACGGAAAAGGGTACAGTTGTAGTTAACTGTGGGTCAGTGATTTTATTTGGCCAACTGACTATTCTGTTGATGTCATTATGCTGTACAAACATATTCTAGAAACAAGTAATCCTAGGAATAAATGATCTCGGATGAAGTGATGTTCTCTAGAAGGCTACAGTGTAATTGCTCCTTGCTGTCTTGTTGTGTAGAAGCTCATTTCCTGTTGTCTGCGGAGTGGAGCCAAGTGTGGTACTTTGACAATTTATCCTTGTTAGTTATAACAGTAAGAGCCACCCACATCCTCTGTGTTGATGATTCTACTGAATGAGACAGATCTGTCCAGGCAGGAGACGAGTTATTTTGCTCTCTTCTCCATTCTGTCTAGAAGTCTCAGATGTGATGGGGAGCAAGCAATCCAAGAAAGTGGAGTATACTCAACGTGTGAATATACTTATGCCTCACACAGAATCTTGCAACCTCTACTGTCGTGCTGATCAAGTACATTTAAGTAGTTACACTGTTGTTTGCAAGATCTACAATGTGGTTCTTCAATATTTTATGGAGTCAAAATCCACCCACATCCCAAGGTGAAATTCATAAAAAGTACTAACACTCTCCCATTCATTCTTACCATAGCTTCAGCATTACTCTCATGGTGCCTAGAGACCATAATAATTTACGATATCTCAGGAGCAAATGTGACGTGCCATCATTTTTCCTAGGTTGACGATGTTCCATATCTTTATCTCTAGTGCACTCACCTCATATACTGTGGTCTCGTGGGTCATTCATGGTTATGGATAGAAACATAGGATGTGTTTCCCTTAGACACACTGTCCCATGTCAGTTCACCTACAAGTAAAATAGTTACATGGTGTTAGGTCATCTGGTGTGGTATGCTCTGAGAACAAAAACTCACCTATATCTTGCCCAAATGCTCTCATATACAAGAACGTAGTGTTGTCATTGATGTCGGTCACATCCGTGTACTTGAAACATGTACTTGTAGAAATAAGATTTTATTATATATAATAATAAT